ACCAGGGGCCTCACACTGGGGAAAGCCACAAGAAAGAGGAGAGACTGGCTGAATCCAATTACAAAGAGTCAAGAAGAAAAACATGTCACTGCACTCTCTCTCTCTCTCTCTCTCTCTCTCCCTCTCTCTCCCTCTCTCTCTCTCTGATGGCATTTCTTCTGCTTCAACAGTCACAGGTTTGTCTATGTTGCTGATTTGAGGCTAAATTAGAGCAAATCCGATCTCAGCAATTGTACGAATCGTTACGGAAGAAAGAACCTTCACTTCCTTCTTGACGTGGTCCCTAAAAACACTTTAGGTTCTAGTGCATGTTGCATGTTGCGGCTACTAGCAAAATACCCTCACTGCAGTAGTTTGTGACTTAAAACCTAAAGTGTAATAATATATTGGACGTGCAATAAGTGCCCAAACACAGTAGATGTCTCAGGGTGTGATTCGTTCAGCGTTTGTCCTCTGATCCCTCTTTGCTCCTCCTGAATGATCACAGTACTTTTTAAGAGTGCTCTGTTCGAGACCACTGAGCTGCAGTGATTAATTAAATGTAATAGATTAAATAATAAAGCTAAAAACAATAAGGTTTGCAAACAGAGTCAGATAGTGTTTCCTTTTTTTTTTTTACTGTTTCCATCAGGACACAGGAGGAGCCTGGGTGTTGGCGTCAAGTCTACAGATTAACAGACAGACAGGAAAAGGATAGGAAGAAGAAGTCAGGACCGTTAGGGTCATCAGCTGTGCCCTCCATCCGCAGGTTGTGAACCTTCTTACTGCAACCTCTCCCCCCAAACTAAAGTGGTTCATAAGCCAGGACTGCTGACTCATTATAAGTAGCAAGGGAAACAGAAGACCACTTGGACCAGTCAAACTACGGGCCAACATGATGGGCCCAGCCAAGAACAAATGCAAATCCTGGGAGAGAGATGTGAAGACTTTTTATATGGACACACACACACACACAAACACACAGGGTTAGTTTGAACACCTGGGTTTCTAAGAACTGGTTAATGCTTCTTTTCAGCAGCCGGTCTCTTCATTAGGCTTGATTCTCCACTTCCTGCAGTTATTTCCTCTGAACAGAGACTACTGACTTCAAGTGACCAGCAGCAGGTCTGCAGGCCAACAATTGTTAAATCTCAAAGCCCAGATGCTGAGAGGAAGATAATAAAATACAGCTGTATCAAAACAGTGAAACTATAGATGACATATAGATGACATACTGTATAGGAGGAATGTCCAGATTTACAGCCGGGGGGTCGGGGGGAGGGGGTATCCTGACACTTGGACTGTTTTATTTGGCCGTGACGTTATTTTAAATTTATGTTTTTTATGACCCGCCATAAAGGATGGAAATCCAGGAAATTACTTGGCCTCTGGATAAAATGTTTTGGACCATTTTCAGACCGTTTGTTTTATCTGTTGTGGCTAATTATAGCCCAGAGCTAATTTTATTTATTCTTCTCAAACTTTAATGACATTCACTAAAATAATGTATTATTTATGTCTCAGTACCAAAGTCTGCCATTCCAATGTATCCAAAAGGATTAAAAATGTTTTAAAATGTAGAGTCAGTTGTGACCTAAGCTTTCTAAAGACTGTTTTGGAGTAGAAAAAGAGGAAGGAGCACTGCAAAGCTCTCAGGAATATATTACATGAACTTGAGGCTCATATCTTATTCCACGGCCGGGACATGAAAGGTTTCTGCCTCTGTCCATTCTTTGGTCTTGGAAGTCCTTTTCACTGAAGCAAATGGCTGTCAGTCACTATTTACATTGTGTCTTCAGCTCTTTGACTGAACTCAATTGGAACATTTTTAAGAATGATTGTACCAACTCGTTGGTGTCCAAGATAAACACCAGTGGCCACTGACACTTAATTGTCTATTGTGTGAGAAAGACCTGCAATATGTGTGGGAGGCTTCTCTCAAATCTACCAGTGTGTCAATGGTTGTCAATGGTTGGGCCTCACAACAGAGAAAGTCAGATTTGGGCTTCCAAGTAATGATACCTTCAAGATGCAATCTCAATTTTTTCCCACACGAGGTTAAGTAAAGCCACACAATAGCCACAGCATGTCCTGGGACAAACTGCTCTAATCATCTGTGGTCTCTGTGTTGTTTTCCACTGCCTTTATAGTAAAGCATGTGTGAGGTGCATTGTGTGCAGGTCCCACGGATCAGTAGCAACAATCTGTGTTCCATAGTTCAACCTCAGCTACTGACCGGACCCTCATTGTTCCCCTGCATTTCCTAACCTCAGAGGAATTCCTTCTCCAGGAAATATGGTTAAGAGGAGAAGGCACCAGGCCCAGCCACTTGTGGAGGCCCAGCCCCCTCCTCCCTGCCCTGCACCCCCTGTTACCTTTCACTCTCCTGGCATAGTCAGCTATGTGACCCCCTCTACCCTCTTGTCTTTGCCCTGATGCAATTCGAAAAAGCGAGGAGCTGCCTACCCAATCAGCCTTAATCAAAAACAATTCTATTCAGGAACCTGAAGTGTTCAGCATCACTGTAATACACCATCATCACGGTAGTACACCAACTTTACTATACTACACCTCCATCATTATAATACAGTACCATCACTGTAATACACCACCATTACCATAATACACAACCACAAACCATTTCAACTTTGCATTCCACCAATTAATAATATTGAAAGCAGAGAAAACAACTTTAACTTTGTCAAGCTAAAAAAGTATTCTTGTGATGGATAAGAATAGTTTACAGCAAGAATTTATGTTCTGCGACAGGTTTCAGTTTTTACTTCCAGCTCTTGTTCTGAGGAAAAAAGGTTTAAGCAGCACTGCCACAGAAATTTCCAGCCTTGAGACACACATTTTCCCCAAGTCATTAAATCCTGACCTGAGTTTTTAACAACTTGAGATAATTTTACCAACAAACACTGAAGTGATGCATAAAAGTTTCTGACATTCCTGCCAGTTTTTGACTGCAAACAAATAGAGAAGGAATGGGGCGGGGGGTGGGGGGGTCACAGAAGCGTTGTGACGGCCCATTGATGGTTTTGGTTTGGTAGTAAAGGAAGTGTGGGATCAGGTGTGATCAGATGAAAGTTTTAGGTGTGACCCCTCTCCCCAGTAGGGCTGTCTTTGATCACCCTGAGCATCTTCTCCGATGCTCCACAGGAGCTTGCGGATGATAAGGCAGCAGATAATGGGCCGTCGTCTTCTCTTCTTCCGTAACATTTTAATCCTCCAGCTTCACTGCCGTGACAGGCAGCTAATCCTACCACATCCCTGCTCTTGTTTACAGTCACAACTAAATCTGAGGCATCCCATCCCAACATTCCCAACAAGAACAGTGTTCCCTTGTAAAGGTCAGCCACTTTTGAAATGAATCCCAGCTCCAGCACAACGGGGGAGATAAGGGAGGAGTGGCTGCATTCCCTAAACCCCCACAACTAGAACAGAGGACACATTCCCTCATGTAACCCTTGTGTAATCGCCTCCAACATCTCCCTGATGATGCCACTTCTAAGAACACCAGATAGAGCTCCGTCCCCTCCCTGCAGGGCCTCCCTCTGCCCTCCGTTGGGAACTTTGGGCAGTCATTGTAGAGGAGAGGGCTCCACATATACATATATGTGGTCTGGGAAATTGTGTTTTTGTTTTTGACACACCAACACAATGTTCCTTTAAACCGACTTCCTTCCACAGTCCCCACTGATATGATAAGCAGTAAAATACTGGGTAAAATACTGTATGATGAAAGCCACAGGGACTTGACAGTGTGGTGGCAGTAAATACTTTCACTTTAAACTAAACATACGAAAATTACCAACTGATGATGCACACAATATTGTTGCCATCTGTGCATGGAGATAAGGGTCAACACGTTTTTAGGGACTGGAAATACTGGAGAGAGATGGGGATATATATATATTGGACAGAGAATATTTAAGATGTACAGTAGATGGAGGGAAGGAGGAAGTGTTTAAGGACACAAGAGGAGAGTCGTGGATGTAGTCAGGAGCACGACAAGGTGAAGGAAGCAGCTGAATGGTTAAGTATAAATTTCAAATAAAAGTAGCAAAGCAAAGTTCCATTTGTTTTCCGTGAGGTCATCTTTGTTGTTGCCCTTGGCTGACCTTAAACCCGTATCCTACAAAAGTAGAAGCAGCAAAGTCCATTACATTTTATATGTTAGTAAAAAAAAAGTCATAAATTATACAGAAAATCAACGAATCACAAATTTAAACATAATAAAAATGTAATTATTTTCATTAAATCCTCCTAATATGACACACATGCAAATTCTGGTCAATGTGGTATTTTGACAGGTTTTATGTACTGAACTTTATCCATTTACATTTCTGCAGCATGTCATCATTCGTTATCAATGGGGCTACCATTTAGCATCTTTCCTATTCAATTAACCCAAAGGGGAGTTTGGGGTATCAAGGTATTTCTCCTGGCTTTTGGCTTTTTCTTGACTAATAAGTTGCCTTGAAAGTACTGTGGCTAATCTTCAGTGACAGTTTAGCTACATTTAGCTAGTTTGGTCAACATTAATAATGTCTGTGGGTCAGTGACAGTTTGGTCAACATTAATAATGTCTGTGATATATTAATCTCCTCTTCTCTAACCAGCATCATTTTGCGTGAGATCAGCTGTTTGCAGATGAACCAGGATTAAACCTCTGACTCTGACTGAGCTGGAATCCAAATCTAAACCACGGTCCTTTAAGACTGCTCTTTTGATTTCACGCTTATGATCTAAGAGTTAATTTCCCAAAAGTAATGCTCGGAGTTGAGTTTAACAAGATACACATTCGTGAAAGCCTTCTCTGCTGGACACAGAACATAGACACAGCGGGCTGCACTGGTTCTTCTCCTGGCTCTGGAGCTGATGCTCCATGAATACTAAACAGCATCTGTTTTTGTTTGTGCTGCATTATTTTATTTTTTTTTTTGTGCATGAACCATGAATTTAAACATGTGCATTTGGGTGACATCTTAGTTGCTGACGAGTCTTTGAAAACTCACCGACAGAAACTCCAGAGTTCCAACATAATCCCGCTCCGTCTTCAAAAGTTCGTTCAGGACGCAGACTCGCAGCCGCAGCTGTTTCTCCAGGTCCTTTCCGCTCTCAGCTCTGTGCTCACTCCTGCTCTCCTCTGTCATTGTGGGTGAAATAAACAAAAACAAAAAAAATTTTGAAAAAACTTGTTTCCCTTCTGCCGTTCCAAACTTTCACATCACTCAACAGGTTGCATGCGAAGTTAGCAGCATGGTCCCAAAAGTGAAGCAGGAGCCGGTCAGTGCACCGGGATAGTCCAACAGAAAGTGCGAACAAAACAAGTGGTCCAGACGGAAGAGAAAGTTCGGAAAGTGGCTGAAAACAAAGATATATGTTATACAGCGAGGCTGGACATGTCCCCAGAGAGCGGAGGTGATGAACAACTGGACTCTAAATGATAAACTGAGTCCATGTGATTCTGTCTTCATCATATGCCTGCCCCCCGGCTGCATTTAAATGCGAAGAACGGTATCAAGGCAGCAGAACCAAATGTAGCTGTTTCCGGTTACAGCCGTCAAAACAAAAGCAACGCAGTCGCTGGCAGGAAACGACGTTAGTTCAACTACAAAAGTGTGAATCTATTTACTATGAGCTTTTTCTAAATAATCAATTATATGTATAAAAATTAATATCCACTGCTATGATATTTACAGGTGGATATTTTTAAAAATGCAATTTATATATTTGATTGTAGTTTGACTGTATAGTGCTAATTCAAGGACTTAGTGAAGTTCATCTTTTATGTTGAATGGGCTGACTGCACAGAGGAGGAAAGGTTAGTGCTTTTACCTCACAATATAAAGGTCACTGGTTCAATCACTGGTGGCAAATGGTGATTTTTTTTTGTATGGGGTTAAAATCATTTTTAAATGTTGGTTCAAAGAAAAGCTACAATTTATACATGTCATATTTATTTCAGAAGGTCAGGGGTTCGATTCCAGCTGCTGATGTAGCTGTGAGCAAAATACTAAACAAGACACTGGTTGCCTTGTTACGTATGAATGTATTTGTTCAAGAGCGGAGAATGCTGCTACAACATAAATGTACTTTGTCAAATATAAATGGTCATATAATAAATACCGATTGTGGCAAACATGTCCAAGCCAGTGGTTGGCACAGAAGTCTGTGGCTGAGTACTACTGAATGATGGGTACAGCTACGATAACATTGTTTGAAAGGGCTAAAAGCCCTCAGTTTCACTCAGTCTCTCATAATCCCCTTCATTCTGCTCCAACTAAAATTAATGGGGTGAAATAATGAATAAAATCAAGCTTTCTTCACCCCAGACCCCCATGAAGGACCACTGACACCAAGCTGGGCGTGGAGCCTCGTAGCAGATCCATGCTGCCATGTTGTAATTGCTCCCTTACTTCCTGTTCTGAAGCACAGCGGTTGATTAATGAAGCAAACAAATCTAACTCGTAAAATCTCAGCTTCCGTCATTAAACAACAAATGAGCCTCATCATTAATATCCGTGAAATGATTAAGATACTGTTTCAAATTCGAATGATTCATTTGAACGGCACAGAGAGTTCACGCTGGGGCGATGAATACAGAAATAATCACAGTATCTGCAGATTTGTCATTAAATTAAGAGGAGAACTGGGGCCTCGTTATGTGCACCTGAGTTGCATTCATTCCTAAAGTGTCTGTTGTACAAATTCATTTCCTTGTTTGAAGAATTATTTAATCAGTGTGTTTGTTTTAATGTCATCATTAAGTTTATTGCTTTCCATTCATAGCATTTGATGAGCTGAGTTGACAAGTTTATTGTTTTCCATTCATAGCATTTGATGAGCTGAGAAGTTAAAAAATAGAGAGAAACAAAACAGCAAGAACTTAAAATGGTGTGTGTTTATATCAAATGTTTGTAGTCCTCTCCCACGGGTGAAATTATCTGTATGTAGACACATTTTCTATTTAGTGAAATATTTCCCCCCATTTTTCTGTTTCTGAATCTGTTTGTAGAGCAATGTTTTATTTAATTAACAGTTGATAACATGAATGAAGAACCTGAATGAAGGCAAATTCTGCAAAGTTGATGATGGTTTTATTTACAAATGGGCATCAGAGAGGACCGAGGGTAAATGTTGTTATCGACTGACAATTTGTATTTTATTTTGCCCATATATGACAATGAACCAGAGCAGGCTACAGAAGCTGGAGTGTTATTTTCTCCTAATTAAATCCCCTAAAAACAACAAATACAATAACAGTGATCCTCAGGTAAATACAGACTCAGTTATCACCTCCCTGCAGTTCAGTCCAAACTGTTTCACTACATCTGAGTCATTCAGCCATTATATTAGGAAAAAAAAATGGATTCACATCCACTGGAGAGGAAGAATGCAGGTGATGACGGCTGCACAGAGGTATCAGCGGCAGCAGCTGGAGCCTTTATTTTATAGAGCTGTTTTATGTCTCATTCACAGGTTAGTGTCAGTTTGAACAGGGTGAGACGAGGACGCGTGAGTTAAATCTAGGCACAGAGTACACTCTGGCGGTTAAATGTAATACCGCATGCTGCAACAGCGAATCTTCCAATGCGGCTTTTTATCGGTGCTTTTACATTATCACCACTAGAGGTAAGTGTTGTCTTACACTCACAAAGAGCAGCACTTATCGAACAATTACCGAATACTTGTGTACAGTCACAAAGTCCACAAGGTTGTAGCGGATAGAGGTTTTGACGTCACCAAGTGATTCTAGTGGACTCGTGGAGTTCATGTTCATGTCATGTCTCTGTGGCGCAATCGGATAGCGCGTTCGGCTGTTAACCGAAAGGTTGGTGGTTCGAGCCCACCCAGGGACGTAGCGTTTATTTTTAAACAATATCCCCACTGTGGGATAAATAACATTCAATGTAATTGAGTCTAATTAGATCTGATATGTGTCCCTTGGTGGCACTCTTAATCTAAACTTGCTAATCATAGACACAAGCTCTCCTTTCAGAGCAAGGTTCAAGTACTTTAATGACAACTAAATTTAAAACAAACGAGTACAGTGGCATACTGTATTTTCAGGTCCCTGATACTAATACTAAATATACAGTTGAGGTATGAAAGACAACAAAGGACCTTTGATCATGTCTGAAGTGGAACAGTGAAGTCACTGTTTTATAGTCAGTCACTTTATTACAGGTAAAGGTTCTGATTGAGATTTTATAATCCACAGCCTTGAATTGTGGAATGTTTTTCCGTTATACAGCACATGCTTTGACAGCGGCCTGAAGGGGTTCTGTTCCATCCTGTCCTGTTCTGTCCTGTTCTGTTCTGTTCTGTTCTTCTATATTATAAACAACAGTCATGTCAACCTGACATGAGTCACGCACTTAACATCGACCATTCATGGTTGTAACTCTGCTAATCTGCACTAATTATGGATGTGAAGCCACAAATACAGTGCAAGCGGGCAGCAGGGGCAGAGTGTGTGCTGTAAAACATGTTTACAGCTAAATGTGGTTCAAGGTATTTCCTATTTTCAACTCAGATCCAGTCTGACTCTGCACAAACTAAACAAACCATAACTGACGTGCTACTGATAAAAAAAGATAAAGTATTGTATTGTCTGCAAATTATTACAGTGTCACTAACATAGTGATGGTGATCTACTGTCTGTAAAATCACTGTTTAAATTTCCATTCACTGACCGGCTATCCACTGACATAATACTCTATAAGGGCTTTTCAACCAGTCAGCCAGTGAAATGTGATATTGGAGTAAAAGCTCTGCTCACTTTCTGTTCTCTTTCTATGTGGAGAGTCCAGTTGTCAAATGGACCACTCTGTGCTGCCTCCTGGTGCAGACTGAACACCATCTTTAACCCCCACCCTTACTCTCTCTGACCTCTCCCCTTTGGGTCAAAAGGTCAAAGAAGTGCACTCACAGCTCTCTTCGGGGTCAGCTGACATGACAAAGAGCCGCCGTTTGCTCCCCTCGTCACCACCATGACCAATGTGAGCCCCCTCTCACTTTATGAGCTTATCAAAGACTTCATTCACTGACTCCAGTCGGGGTTTGAGACTCTGGCAGGAACGAACCGGACGATTAACTGACCCCTGTGGGCCATGGTAACATGAACAGTCTCCACGCGGCCCAGATCTGCGTTCCTGTGTGTTAAATTCAACACCAGGACTACCACAAGGACTCCTGTGGCAGCAGTGGTGCTGCCCACAACCCACACTTCAGTGTCCAACACTTCATGCTCCATGAACCACCATGACGTCACAAACTCTACCTGTGGGTGTTTTCACTCATACCCACAAATCCCTGAACATGATACACACACATCTCACAGGCAAAAGCTTCATGAATACGTCTCTGTGTGCTGCTGTCACAGCCGTCCAAAACACTCATGTACTGGGTTCAAGGTATTTTTGAAATATGGCCCTGTTGCCAACTGACTCTGTAAACATTCGTCTCATTTCACTTTTCACTTTTAGTTTTCAGGATTTTTTTTTAATACAGAACGGAGGAGGATCGTGACGATCAAGACTCAGAAAATCACTTCTGGTCACGAGTCAATTTATTAACATATTCAATTTGTGGACCACTTCCCTGATGCTAAAAGTGGGCTACTAGAATTTGAGTGTGGGCCACCAGACGACTGCATTGATTGAAGTTTAACGGTCTAAATAAAAATGTCAAATTTAAACTCCAAGATATGCAAAAAACAGATATTTAGATAGTGCAGAGTATTTTCTTTTTTTCTTCCTTTCTTTTCTTTTTTCTTTTTGTGACACTGTCCTTGAGTAACTAATGGAGGGTCTATCTAGAGTAAGGTGTGTTTAGCATACAGTATGTTGTACGGTAATTAGGTCGGGCTGGTGCAAAGCTGTGAAGAGAAACACGGAAATGTGTGGTGCTGTCGTGTGAACACAAAAGGAAAAGAGTCAGTCAGTCGACTAAGACGCTTAATCACTGTGTTTCAGGGATAAATAGAGGAAAAGCCTGGAATAACAGGGGGAGACACCTGGGGCTTCACAGAGGGATGCCTGCTGGATCAGAGTCAAGTATCAGTCCTGCTGTTATGACACTGGCAACAGGGGCTTCAGGGCAGAGGGGTCTTAAGAAACGTTTTATATGATTTGCTGCAGGTAATTTGGAAATGAAACAAGCTTTAAATCAGTCAGATTACAATTAAAAAATAAAGTAACCAAATGTTACTCTAAAATTATCAAAACGAAAAGAAATCATTTTTAGTTTTACAGAACATGAAATGTTGTATTTCTACCACAAATATCTTAAACCCATGCCAACTATAACCCCTTAAGGGCAAGAAATACCTGAAAAGAAAATACCGTAATACCACTTAGCCAAACTTTTTATTAAATTATCCTGGCATTAATCCAAAATGCTGTTTGCAATATTTCAGATTGGAAAATCCCATTGTGAAAAAATAATAATAATAATAATAACCTGGGATACCAAATACCGGAAAAAACAGTTTAAGTGCCACTTAGGGCCCCAGAACCGGATGATGGAAATACCAGGTTTGATTTAAGAGTCAAGCTAAGGATTTAGGAGCTTCTTATGCTCCTAAAGTTTTAACTGAATATATATAAGTCCATAGAGATTTATGATTTTCATTTTCTCTGCTTGGACAATTTGGTTTCAAGTGTGGTTTCAATTTAAGGCATTGGCTTGAGATACAGTGGAAATGTCATCAGGATAGTCAACGTGGGACAAGAATATATGAGAATCATGATCATCATTATGGAGTTAGCTCTAGTAAAACTATATCTATATATCTACATATATAATATATATATTTATATATACATATATTTATTTAAATTTCATCAGTGAGAAGCTGCTAATTAATTCGACAAATGGGACACTTTTTAACTTGTAAATGTCACATAAATATGATATAACTAATGTCATTTTTATTTAGATTATATTTCAATTGTTGTATTTTTTCCCACTTTTCCTATGTTGCTATCGTGTCACAATAAAAGTTTGTTTAACGAACATTTGTCTCGGGGGGGGTGGTGGGGGGGGGCTCTTCCTTGGCCCGTGGCGCCATACGAGCTCGGTCCGCCGCTGTAAGTCTTCATAAAAACATAGGGATAATCTCCGGTGCGCATTGTGCGCGCAGGCACAGACGGATCCAGTTACCAATTTTACCAACACCGAGCCACGTGACTCAATCCTCCTCATTTTTAAGTGCTCCTGCTCCTACTCCTGCAGCTCCTGCCGTGTAATTCAAAGAGCTGTTAAATGCTCGCCTTGTGCCATCTCACCGACTTTCGCACCTTTGGCATCTTCTGCATCAGCCGAGAAACTTCTACACCGACAAAAAACCCACTCCAGCCTTTAAAGAGTTTTTTTCTTTAGCTTTTTATTCATCGGTTTTCGTGCGTCCTACAGACGTTTCCCACACTTTGATCCGCGGACCCAGGATGGCACCGAAGCGCAGAGGCGCGTTTCGCTCCTGGGTTTTACTGATCCGTGTGATAATCTGCAGCACGGTGCTATGTCCCGCCGCTGCCTCCCTCTACAACAACCGCTACGCAGGGTGAGTACAGACCCATTCATTCATCTGTGGGGCTCCGGGCGGCGCTGGACATATACGAGTGTCCGTGGTTGAAGCAGTCAGAGGCGGAGAGGCTGATCCTGCCGCTGGTTTTCCGCAAAGATCCATCACAGAATTACAGACAGATTTTATCTTTGTGGTTCAGAGCAGAGGGAACGAACAAAGCGCTGACGATCATAATCCACTTCACCTGTTTGAATGCACAAAGTTTGTTTGCTCTCCAGACCCGTGTTTATTTCCCTGTGCCATCTGGGTGAGATGGGATCAGCTCTCAGAAAACTCACGACATATGGGAGATGATGCAGCAAGAAAATGTATTTTGGAGTTTTAAAATAGCAGTTAAAGTCTTTTGCACTAATATTTAATTTAATTTTGGTTAAAAAAAAAAAAATTGTATAATGTCTCCTTTTTGCCACAGCCTGCAGTCCCTCAGAGTTGTTTCTTTATGACTTTCAATTTTTAGTTGATTACACATAGATTAGAAGTCTTCACTGTTTTATTGTTTTTATTCTCTTCTATTCTAAAGAACAATTATAATTAAAAATTCCAATCACTCCGATATTAAAATTGTTATATAATAGTCCTGCCGCGCCCCGCCTTTTTTAATTTTGTGTACCTAAAAAGGGACCCGTCCCCCATTTTGGGAATCACTGCCGTAAACTAACTTATTATAATTATAAATATATTTAAATACAGTAAACATCTGTTAACTATAAACTACCTCTGTTTCAACATAATCACAGTTATTTAGAACACATCTAACTAGACTTTTCAGTCCAAATTTGTCCATGGTTAAACTCACTAACTGCTCAAATGGAAACCACTGAGGGACTCAACACCTACAAGAGTGTGGAGAAGCCTCTAGGAGGTGTGCCACTTAAAAATCAGCAGCCTGCTTCTCAAAAGACCCTTTGATGTGGGACCACCTTGGCTGGAACCCCCCCCCCCCCCCCCCCCCCCCCCCCCTTACCCCCTCATCTGCCTCACCAGCATATATTTTGGATGTCTTCCAGATATGTGTAAAAGTTGATCCATGGTGCGACAAGTGGAGTGTCAGCTAAATGCAGCGCCGCCGTCCGGACCTGTTTGACTATCAAACAATGTCACGGCTGTTCCTCGGAGCAGCGTCTTAGTTTCTCTGACACGGCACGCTCCTATGACATCATTGTAGTCGCACCATAAGTGCCGTTGTGATAAAAGCAAATTGCTTCCATACCTCGGAGGATCCCTCCATCATCTGACTAACGAGAGGAAGACAGATTTGCTCTTCAAAGCTGTGCAGCTGCTCGATGAAAAGACACCAGCCTCTGATGAAGAAACACTATCTGTCATCTGTGACTGAAAGACAGGAGAGATTTAGGCTCAGAGGCTTCATGGTGCTGCACGTTCGTTGGCTGAAACACGTTTTCCAGTGCAGCAGCAACAGAACAACATGAGTTTTTATTCTCTAATTGTGTATAAAAATGTCTGATTTAAAAATATCTTTGCCTTTCCTGTTTCTCTTGTTGCTACTGCTGGATAAACCGCAGTGTTTCTTTAGGTTTTTGGAATGAAGCAGGCACAAGGGCAAAACTGGAAATTCTAAAACTTAATAAAAAACATTTTGGAAATAATTTTGGAATAATAATATAGAGGTCATATTGTGCTATTGTTTTTGTTTTTTTATAATGTTGACTACACTGTCAGTCCGATCCTGTACTGAACTACTACTACTAACATTTGGGCTTTTGGTCCATTTGTTCTTCACCACTACATTTAAATTGGACAGCTGTCACCTACGGGTGTGGGTCTGACTTCCTGCCTGACACACTGTAAAGAGGAGAAAAGAGACAGACTTTGTGACCATAGAGAGACTGTAATAAATAAATAGCAGTTTGTTATCTTTAACACCAGACCCATAAACGATGAGGTCAGAGCCAAAACAACAGGTTCATGATGTGGAGAGCGAGTGTTTTTGTTTTGCCTTAAAGTCATAAAGATCCAGGGTTTGGAAACAATCTCCAGAGTTTCTGTCCATTCCTATTTCATTGTCTTCCAATAGTTTATTGTCAGGTGTTTTCCACAACTACGACTGATGATGAAGCGTGAATCAGCTGCTGCTCCTGTTCCAGGTGCTGCCAGCGGAGCAGGAAGTGATGAAACCTAATCCGACAGTAATGCCTCACTCAGATGGTTCCACTGGGAGAGTTTAGCCTGTCACGTATGGGACTCCCAACGAGGAAACACCCATTTGACCATCAAAGAAACACTTTCTTGTCGGTGTCACCTTTAATTGACACAAAAGGCGGTCGCATTACCTGCGACTCTGTGGCCCAGATGTTTTTGAAACGATGTGTAAATGGAGGGCGAAATGGACCAGAGCTTTGGGGCACTTTTGATCTGGGCTGAAACGTGACACTCAGGAAAGTCTGTGTTGTTTTTGCAGGGATCAAGTCTTCAGGATAACTCCGGGGAACGATGAGGAGGTTCAAGTGCTCAAGAAGGTTCTGTCGCACATGAAGGTCTGCTCTTAAATTTCTATTGAATTGTAACCACATTCTAACCCCATTGACAAATACAGTTCTTGCTTCATAACTCCACTGAACTTAATTGAATACAATGTTGACACCTGCTGCCCAGCCGTGGGCCCCACCCCCGACTTTGAGAACCACTGCTTCATACCAAGTAGCCATGGTAGCTGGTAGTATCTGATGCCTATTCTCCATGTGTGCGTGTGAGTGTGAATGGCTTGTAATGTAATGTAGAGTTGTGATTATTGATAATTTTTGTTAATTTGTCATCTGTTGATTCATTCTTGGTTAGTAAATAACAAAATCAAATATATAAATAATAAATAAATATTCAATGTAATTCAGACAAAAAGGTACAAATTAGTGCACAATTACAGAAATATTAATTTCTTTTTTAAATGTCCACTAGGATAAAAACATGCAAAAATGTAAAACATCTTAGTTGCATTGAAAACAATGAAACAAAAGACGAATTCCTGTTCAAAGTCGTAGCGTGAGGCTGAATATTAATGCTCCATATTTATTACAGAGAGAATAAATGAAAGAAGTCCAGAGAAAATGTGGAAAAGCTGAAGGTCCTACAGCTAAAACTATGGAACATGTGTTTCAAAGACACTGAAATGAGAGGGAAACCCAGGAGGAAATAAACGCTTTCCCTCTCTTCCCAAAATCATTTGGCAGTAATTTCCCCTCTGCCCCACGAGCGTGTAGGAGTTTACTCTGCATATTGTTTCACTTTGCAAACACCGCAAAGACTGTTTGTAAACACAAACCACGCAGATGTCCTCAATTGTGGACATAAATGTCCAACAGATATGCAAATATGCTATTGGAATAATTGATTTAACAGTTGATTTCCTAGGAAATGATTTTTTTTTCTAATTTGGTAAGAACTCTCAACAGATGAATTTGTGCCAGACTGCAGTAAAAAGTACAAAAATATGAATGTTGGACTGTGATCTGATGTGTAGAAACTAAACTGTTGAGAGGAGAAACACTACAGTAAATACAACAGTAAATACTGAGTAAAAGTGTACACAAAAAAAGTAGTCTACGAATGTGTTTACAGTTCGTAAAAGGACATCGGTCCAGATTGAGGACAAGTCAAGCAGCACCTGCATGAAACAAGGAAAACAACAGAGCAGGGCAGAAGGGGACTCAGTAAATGTTTGTGATTTGTGGTGATAGAATCCAGACCAGAGCCAGGATGCTGGTCAGGATCTGGCCTAAGTCTGAACAGGCAGCCAACACTGCACTTTAAGCCCAGCAGCACAATGGCAGCTCCTGTTTGAACAGCTGTGGACATGTGTTTTCAGAAGCTCAGACACTGAGCCGTGACCTAGGTGTCTGAGTCAAAAGTTTTTAGCCTCAACCGTGGGGTTAAGTTCAATTCAACTGTACGGGAAAGTCTAGACTCAAACCCTGCCTTGGCCTCCAGAAATCCATGTTTTTGGTGAAAATAAAATCTACATCAGTGCAGTAGGGAAAACATAATTCAAGCCATAACAGTCTGCCAGACAATTATAAGTATTGATTATGATATATATATATATATATTAATACACATAATATTATGATATATATATATAAAAAATGTAAATAATTTTTAGGAGAACAATTATTTACATTTTTTTTATAGGAAAACATGAGAGATGTGTGATAAGATGTTTTCATTTCTTTTTAATCCTTTTGAATTTTTAGCATGTCTTAGAACTTTTTGACTCATTCTCGTACATGTGCTGAAGTAACACATGCAGGAGGTGAACACCTGCTACTGTAAAGGTCATTCCCAGGACAGTAATGACAGGTTTTCAATAATAACTACAGTAAAGGAAATGGTTGAAAGCCCAGTAACTGCAGTGTCATCTGTGAGCACTCTGTCTGTAAAGGTACTGGAGGTATAATTTAAAAACTCTACCATCCTGAAAACACTGTAATACTGCAGACTATACTGAACGAATAAATATCTTCATAAAAATATGTGCTGGGCTGGATAAGGCTTTTCTCCACCATATCAAATGTTAATGATTACTTCACTGCTCCTTCCACTCCAGAGTCTCAAACAGGTCATTGGCTA